CCTATTAGTATTGATTACTGGGTGAACTTACATTAGTAGATACTGATGTGAACATTCACATCAGTGTATAATGATCTGAACATTCCTATTAGTATTGATTACTGGGTGAACTTACATTAGTAGATACTGATGTGAACATTCACATCAGTGTATAATGATCTGAACATTCCTATTAGTATTGATTACTGGGTGAACTTACATTAGTAGATACTGATGTGAACATTCACATCAGTGTATAATGATCTGAACATTCCTATTAGTATTGATTACTGGGTGAACTTACATTAGTAGATACTGATGTGAACATTCACATCAGTGTATAATGATCTGAACATTCCTATTAGTATTGATTACTGGGTGAACTTACATTAGTAGATACTGATGTGAACATTCACATCAGTGTATAATGATCTGAACATTCCTATTAGTATTGATTACTGGGTGAACTTACATTAGTAGATACTGATGTGAACATTCACATCAGTGTATAATGATCTGAACATTCCTATTAGTATTGATTACTGGGTGAACTTACATTAGTAGATACTGATGTGAACATTCACATCAGTGTATAATGATCTGAACATTCCTATTAGTATTGATTACTGGGTGAACTTACATTAGTAGATACTGATGTGAACATTCACATCAGTGTATAATGATCTGAACATTCCTATTAGTATTGATTACTGGGTGAACTTACATTAGTAGATACTGATGTGAACATTCACATCAGTGTATAATGATCTGAACATTCCTATTAGTATTGATTACTGGGTGAACTTACATTAGTAGATACTGATGTGAACATTCACATCAGTGTATAATGATCTGAACATTCCTATTAGTATTGATTACTGGGTGAACTTACATTAGTAGATACTGATGTGAACATTCACATCAGTGTATAATGATCTGAACATTCCTATTAGTATTGATTACTGGGTGAACTTACATTAGTAGATACTGATGTGAACATTCACATCAGTGTATAATGATCTGAACATTCCTATTAGTATTGATTACTGGGTGAACTTACATTAGTAGATACTGATGTGAACATTCACATCAGTGTATAATGATCTGAACATTCCTATTAGTATTGATTACTGGGTGAACTTACATTAGTAGATACTGATGTGAACATTCACATCAGTGTATAATGATCTGAACATTCCTATTAGTATTGATTACTGGGTGAACTTACATTAGTAGATACTGATGTGAACATTCACATCAGTGTATAATGATCTGAACATTCCTATTAGTATTGATTACTGGGTGAACTTACATTAGTAGATACTGATGTGAACATTCACATCAGTGTATAATGATCTGAACATTCCTATTAGTATTGATTACTGGGTGAACTTACATTAGTAGATACTGATGTGAACATTCACATCAGTGTATAATGATCTGAACATTCCTATTAGTATTGATTACTGGGTGAACTTACATTAGTAGATACTGATGTGAACATTCACATCAGTGTATAATGATCTGAACATTCCTATTAGTATTGATTACTGGGTGAACTTACATTAGTAGATACTGATGTGAACATTCACATCAGTGTATAATGATCTGAACATTCCTATTAGTATTGATTACTGGGTGAACTTACATTAGTAGATACTGATGTGAACATTCACATCAGTGTATAATGATCTGAACATTCCTATTAGTATTGATTACTGGGTGAACTTACATTAGTAGATACTGATGTGAACATTCACATCAGTGTATAATGATCTGAACATTCCTATTAGTATTGATTACTGGGTGAACTTACATTAGTAGATACTGATGTGAACATTCACATCAGTGTATAATGATCTGAACATTCCTATTAGTATTGATTACTGGGTGAACTTACATTAGTAGATACTGATGTGAACATTCACATCAGTGTATAATGATCTGAACATTCCTATTAGTATTGATTACTGGGTGAACTTACATTAGTAGATACTGATGTGAACATTCACATCAGTGTATAATGATCTGAACATTCCTATTAGTATTGATTACTGGGTGAACTTACATTAGTAGATACTGATGTGAACATTCACATCAGTGTATAATGATCTGAACATTCCTATTAGTATTGATTACTGGGTGAACTTACATTAGTAGATACTGATGTGAACATTCACATCAGTGTATAATGATCTGAACATTCCTATTAGTATTGATTACTGGGTGAACTTACATTAGTAGATACTGATGTGAACATTCACATCAGTGTATAATGATCTGAACATTCCTATTAGTATTGATTACTGGGTGAACTTACATTAGTAGATACTGATGTGAACATTCACATCAGTGTATAATGATCTGAACATTCCTATTAGTATTGATTACTGGGTGAACTTACATTAGTAGATACTGATGTGAACATTCACATCAGTGTATAATGATCTGAACATTCCTATTAGTATTGATTACTGGGTGAACTTACATTAGTAGATACTGATGTGAACATTCACATCAGTGTATAATGATCTGAACATTCCTATTAGTATTGATTACTGGGTGAACTTACATTAGTAGATACTGATGTGAACATTCACATCAGTGTATAATGATCTGAACATTCCTATTAGTATTGATTACTGGGTGAACTTACATTAGTAGATACTGATGTGAACATTCACATCAGTGTATAATGATCTGAACATTCCTATTAGTATTGATTACTGGGTGAACTTACATTAGTAGATACTGATGTGAACATTCACATCAGTGTATAATGATCTGAACATTCCTATTAGTATTGATTACTGGGTGAACTTACATTAGTAGATACTGATGTGAACATTCACATCAGTGTATAATGATCTGAACATTCCTATTAGTATTGATTACTGGGTGAACTTACATTAGTAGATACTGATGTGAACATTCACATCAGTGTATAATGATCTGAACATTCCTATTAGTATTGATTACTGGGTGAACTTACATTAGTAGATACTGATGTGAACATTCACATCAGTGTATAATGATCTGAACATTCCTATTAGTATTGATTACTGGGTGAACTTACATTAGTAGATACTGATGTGAACATTCACATCAGTGTATAATGATCTGAACATTCCTATTAGTATTGATTACTGGGTGAACTTACATTAGTAGATACTGATGTGAACATTCACATCAGTGTATAATGATCTGAACATTCCTATTAGTATTGATTACTGGGTGAACTTACATTAGTAGATACTGATGTGAACATTCACATCAGTGTATAATGATCTGAACATTCCTATTAGTATTGATTACTGGGTGAACTTACATTAGTAGATACTGATGTGAACATTCACATCAGTGTATAATGATCTGAACATTCCTATTAGTATTGATTACTGGGTGAACTTACATTAGTAGATACTGATGTGAACATTCACATCAGTGTATAATGATCTGAACATTCCTATTAGTATTGATTACTGGGTGAACTTACATTAGTAGATACTGATGTGAACATTCACATCAGTGTATAATGATCTGAACATTCCTATTAGTATTGATTACTGGGTGAACTTACATTAGTAGATACTGATGTGAACATTCACATCAGTGTATAATGATCTGAACATTCCTATTAGTATTGATTACTGGGTGAACTTACATTAGTAGATACTGATGTGAACATTCACATCAGTGTATAATGATCTGAACATTCCTATTAGTATTGATTACTGGGTGAACTTACATTAGTAGATACTGATGTGAACATTCACATCAGTGTATAATGATCTGAACATTCCTATTAGTATTGATTACTGGGTGAACTTACATTAGTAGATACTGATGTGAACATTCACATCAGTGTATAATGATCTGAACATTCCTATTAGTATTGATTACTGGGTGAACTTACATTAGTAGATACTGATGTGAACATTCACATCAGTGTATAATGATCTGAACATTCCTATTAGTATTGATTACTGGGTGAACTTACATTAGTAGATACTGATGTGAACATTCACATCAGTGTATAATGATCTGAACATTCCTATTAGTATTGATTACTGGGTGAACTTACATTAGTAGATACTGATGTGAACATTCACATCAGTGTATAATGATCTGAACATTCCTATTAGTATTGATTACTGGGTGAACTTACATTAGTAGATACTGATGTGAACATTCACATCAGTGTATAATGATCTGAACATTCCTATTAGTATTGATTACTGGGTGAACTTACATTAGTAGATACTGATGTGAACATTCACATCAGTGTATAATGATCTGAACATTCCTATTAGTATTGATTACTGGGTGAACTTACATTAGTAGATACTGATGTGAACATTCACATCAGTGTATAATGATCTGAACATTCCTATTAGTATTGATTACTGGGTGAACTTACATTAGTAGATACTGATGTGAACATTCACATCAGTGTATAATGATCATGGTTGATGCCTATGTTGATTACCATTGTGTCTTTCAATATCGTTTTAATTAAGATTTGACAAGCTGTGTGCCAACCATCATTTTTTCTCACTGGGTTCCTCTTCATGGTCTTAGCAATTGATAACATCAAACTAACAATGTGCTTATTGTAGGGTTCAGCTAGATCCAGTATCCTTGGAGAGGCTACCATTAATCTGGCAGGTTACATGAGTTCAAGAGCTTCTATTCCTGTTTCATTACCTTTGAAAAAGTGCAACCATGGGACAATTTTACAAGTGAGTCATCTCCTAATGCTTCCAAAGTTTGTTTTCGGTTAATGATCCATGATGCTAAAACTCTTTTAGTTTATCTGGAAGTGTTGCACATATTTTTGATGTATTTTTGGGTAAATTCCAAAGACACACTCCATGAGGTTTGTCAAAAACATGGATTCCCCCTCACATTCTGCAAATTACAGATACCCCATTGTCAGGATTTTTCCTGCAACTGTTCTAATAGAAATAAATAAAATTTATCAAGTTGAGCTGAGTTTAGCTTGTGAACTTTTTTACTCATATATATATATATATATATATGTGGATGATAATTCTGTTGTAATGCTGTTGGTTTTATTTAGCATGCTTTTGCAGCCTAAATTGCTTCTCAAGTGTATTTATTAAATTCGATACATGTCAAGGTGCAATCACATGATCGATCTTTTGTTGATTTGTGTTATATTACTACAATTTCTTGCTTGCCTACATTTTGCAGGGCCACAGGCAAAGGGTATTTTGGTGGTCCATATCATCCTTCCCTCTACTAATTTCAGGCTATGTTTTAAAGGTGTTAGGTATGCTGTCTAACTTTAGCATCTGATTTGCAATCCTAATACTTTAAGTACTCCATTGTTCTCCTCTAACTGCAAGGTATGCTTGATTCTTCCAGGTATTTCTTTTTCTAAACCACTTTACACTTTGAGCTATATGTGCATTACTGCAGGAGCATCAGGATTCCTCTTAACCATCATCTTTTACATAGTAAGTCGATTCTATGTTCATTTATATACATATATTATATTTGTATTTGTAATTATATATATATATATATATATATTCAGCGGATGGGAATGAATGCTCTCATTATTTATGCTTTGGGTGCTTGTGACCTCTTTCCGGCAGCTTTGTAAGGTTTCTATTGGCATTCACCAGAAAACAATCTTTTAATCATATTTTGGAGCAGTGTGGCAGGTCTATAAATCTCCTTTGTTAGAAAAATATTCTTCAGTGCTTAGTGCAATGACTGAGATGAGTTTCTTCATTTATTTATTGGTTGTTGTCCCTTGTTATTTGTTTATTTTTTAAATTAATTCCTTGCCATCTATGCTCATGGGGCCACCTTTTTTTTTTGGGAGGGAGGGGGGGGGCGCACTGCAGAGGAATGTTTGCAGTCAAAGATGTTATTGGTGACCTTCATATTAATATTCTTTGGTTGTCTTTGTACCCAAGAAAAAGGAAAAAAAAAATTTTAATTGTTGTCACATGTTGGGTGCATTCTTCTCTTTTCCCTAAATTTTCGTGCCTCCTCATTTTCATCTCCTTCATTAAAACAGCTATTTCTTATCTTTCTCTGCTGGCAAAAAAAATAATTTTATTCTGTACCAGAAAAGAAAAGGAAAGAAAAAATAAAATCATTTGTCAGTTTGATCTATTGCTCTTGTGGGTCTGCGTAACTGATTAGAAATTTCAGTCACCAGCTTGATTTATTGCTCACGGGGAAGCACAGATGATATCTAATAATGTGTAATAACTCTTTGTTCCTTGTTTTGTTGCCTTTTTTAAGACCATTTCGACTGGGTAGTTGGTTCTTACTGGGGGCTCTGTTTTTCATTGCTTGTGTAGATGGCAATCCGCGCTGATTTGATGGATGCTCATTTGTATGCGTACAAGAGGTTTGAGGTTTTGTTCTTTTCTTCAAAGTGATCTTTTAATTCATTCATTCTAAAATCTATTTTTTTAGCAGCTCTCAGTTTCGAAATAGAGGTAATTTATTTTTTTAACATAGATTTGAACAACCACATTCTAAACCATTTCTTTTTTGTCGATCTTTGTTTCCTTGTTTTGCAATATCATAGATTTGACTTCTTTTTTATATTTTTGGCAGGCCACACCTTTGACTTGAACTTTATCTTTTCTTTGATCAATGCCACCAATTTACATCGTTTGGAAGTGAACATCAACAATTTTGGCTGCAAGTTTCCAGAATACATCGGTAATCTCTCAAGAAACCTTGAATATTTGAATCTAGACCACAATCATATATTCGGAAGCATTCCACCCGAGATTGTACACAGGGAATACTAGTCATTTAGTATCACCAAGTCTGATAGGTTGCTTTTTTTTCGTCAATATAATGAGGTTTTGTATAGATAACATCACCTTACTGTATTTTTCCTTTATTTTTATTTATTTTTTATTTTCATCTCTCTTTTGGGTAGGTTAAGTGTTTTATACTATTGTTGCAGTTAATTTTATACTTCTTTTCACTATTATTTTGTTATAGGTTAAGGTATGATTTTGTTTTGTACACAGGGATTCTACTATTGTTGCAGTTAATTTTATACTTCTTTTCACTATTATTTTGTTATAGGTCTTTTTTCTGTTCATGTTTTGCATGGTACAAACTTTAGTTGAAGAAGTTTGAATTAGTGATGTTTTCTTGTATCAAAAAAGAATCTTGTGTCTTAACTTGTGCTATATCTTGATATGTTTCTTTCATGTAGACGGTTGGAGCAGAAGCATTGAGGATTGGTGTAAATGGGCCATGGGTCACTAAATCATACCTTGAAATGATTCTTGAAAGTAGAGGTTGAGAAACGGAATAATTTCGTTATTGTTTTTACCCCATCTGCATTCCATACAATTGTTTGGTTCCTTTTGCCTTTCGTCTTTCATATCAGTTATTCTCTTTTCAATTAATCCCCATCTCACTTGCAGGTGTACCACGCCTTAATACACCACCACTTTTGTCTAATACATCTACCACTATTGTTCAAGAAAGGTTGATTACTGCACCAAAGCCTCTTCGAATTGCTTCGAACCTTGTGTTTGAAGATTTATCTCAGCCATGGACTCAATCGCCAACAAAATCCCAAATGGAACCTGTACTAGCAACTTGGCATTTTGTCTCACCAGATCCTCCACTTGCTGATGGCTCTGTCATTGGTATGTTTTCTCAACCAGTAGAAAGTAAAATTTCTCATGCCAGCATTATTGTTAAGTGAACTTTGCCTTGGGTGTGTTATCTATTCTTCATTTATCTTGACTCCTTTCATGAAACAGCTACAGATCCTCCTTCTTTCAGGGATAGCCTGCAGCTTGTTCCAATGCCTGATTCATATGACTTGGATAAGGGATTGCTTCTTGCTGTTCAAGCAATACAGGTAACGGTTATTAGATAAGTAGGGAGGAAAACTTTTAGACTTTGGAGCTTCAAGTCTATCATTGGACTTTCAATAATTATATATTGCATTACCTCTTCAAGGGTCATGAACCCCCGGATCTGTCGCTCAATCAGCTCTTTGGTGATTGCCGATTCTGGTGGGCCGTATATCTTTAGGTCAAGTTTACTCTTCAATGGCCATTCCTGCATTCAGATGATCATATCATTTTAACATTCCTTTTATTTATTTTTTATTATTTATTTATTTTGTGTGTGTGTGTGTCAAAAGACTATAAAATGACATAACAAAATCTCTTGAGCTAAGACTTGAGAAGAAAAATTATATAGTGCTCTTGGGACAAATATATATGGTATCCTAATTTGTTTTACTAGATTAAAATAAGGGGGAATTACTTGACAGTGGGGTAGAGAAAAAAAAATTGCAAAAATATGAAAGGTGAATCTGTGGTAGGGTGCAAGCGAAAAACTGTGGAGGTGCAAACTTGCACCCCTCTATATTTGTGTATTTTCTTTTTATCTATCTAACTGTTAAGTAATTCCCCTCTATATTTGGGTTGGGGAGCCTCAGGTTTATCTACACTTGATACTATTTGGTATTTACAATCCCAATTAGTTACATATGTTTAATGGTTGGTTTGTTACTTCTTCTTTTTTTCTTTTCTTTTTTTTATCACTTTTTTGAATTTGCAGTCACTTCTGATACAAGGAAAAGGACAGTTCAATTGCTCTACTCCTGGTATACAAGCCGATCTTTGTAATGCTACAAATCCTGAATGCTCTCCTTATGTACTCAGGGTTATTCCTGGAAAAACATACTGACTACAGATTGGTAGCTTAACTGCTTTAGCAGCTCTCAGTTTCGAAATAGAGGTAATTTATTTTTTTAACATAGATTTGAACAACCACATTCTAAATTAATTGAGGTAACTAGTGTTCAAAAGCCAATCTTTGATCTTTGATGTATGTAAATAAATATATCTGTTAAGACCTTAAGTGAGGTAACTAGTGTTCAAAAGGTGTTGTCTATTTAATTGAGGTAACTAGTGTTCAAAAGCCAATCTTTGATCTTTGATGTATGTAAATAAATATATCTGTTAAGACCTTAAGTGAGGTAACTAGTGTTCAAAAGGTGTTGTCTATTTAATTGAGGTAACTAGTGTTCAAAAGCCAATCTTTGATCTTTGATGTATGTAAATAAATATATCTGTTAAGACCTTAAGTGAGGTAACTAGTGTTCAAAAGGTGTTGTCTATTTAATTGAGGTAACTAGTGTTCAAAAGCCAATCTTTGATCTTTGATGTATGTAAATAAATATATCTGTTAAGACCTTAAGTGAGGTAACTAGTGTTCAAAAGGTGTTGTCTATTTAATTGAGGTAACTAGTGTTCAAAAGCCAATCTTTGATCTTTGATGTATGTAAATAAATATATCTGTTAAGACCTTAAGTGAGGTAACTAGTGTTCAAAAGGTGTTGTCTATTTAATTGAGGTAACTAGTGTTCAAAAGCCAATCTTTGATCTTTGATGTATGTAAATAAATATATCTGTTAAGACCTTAAGTGAGGTAACTAGTGTTCAAAGGGTGTTGTCTATTTAATTGCAGTAGATGTCTGTAGAACCTGCTGGTACACTTCAGAAATGTGTGATCTTTTCTTTTAGTGGGCTTGAAATTTATTTTGCTAGTTTTTTCTTTTGTTCATGCGATGACAGATGGCTTGTTAAGCTTTTTGTAGCAAGCTATGCTATTACGTATGAGTGGCTATGTAGTGTCAGTGTCGATGTATTGCTTCTTATCAAACTGTGTTGTGCTGTGCTTATGGTGACATAATTTATGCGGCTGTTAAACTAATGAATTGTACAAGTTTACTGAATGTTATGATACATGCGGGACATGATCCGATTAATTATAGTATTTGTTTCATTTCAGGACACACAAAATGTGTATACTGGATAGTTTCTGTCATTTCTCAATTTTTGGCGTTGGGCAGGTGTTTCAATCTGTGTGGCGGGTGTTTCAATCTGTGTTTGTTTCTAAAATTCTAGGTTGTAGCATGTGTTAGCTTCTTTTTTGGGGGGATAAGTGCAGTGGTTTGTGTTAGCTTACAATTAGTGTTTAATATGTCTTGTTGTTATCTTTGTCCCTTTCAGCCAATGGAAATTTATGTGGATGATGAGGCCAAACTGACTCTTCACGGTCTAGTACAGGTATTTTTAATTTTTGTAGTAGAGCCTCAATGATTTGTATTTGCTTAAACACTCACTATTACTTCTATGTTTTTTCCCATCAGCGTTATATTAAACTGAGTGAGCTTGAGAAAAACCGCAAACTTAATGACCAGAAGTTGCAAAAGATGTAGCTGATGTTTTGCTGAATGATGCAAGTGAAGAGCTAAATGACAATCTAATTTCAGATGTTTTGCTGATGTTTTTAATATTATAAGCCATATTAGTGTGCTTTCTATTCCTTTTTTAATTTTTTTGGGCAAATTATACTTCTTGACCATTTTGATTTTAATTGATGTATTTAAAGTCTGAATTGTTGCTATTCTTAAGTATGCAATGCATTGTTTCTTATTTTTAATTTTGTTTTCAAGCTTAGTTTATTTATTATTTTAATAAACATCAATTATTAGTTTGACAGATATTTTTTTTGTTCAATCATGTAAAATTAACAAAATTTAAAAATTAAAAAAAAAGGCTATGGCGGCGTTTAAAAAACGTCACTATATCCCACTCCAACGGTTAGATTTTAAAAATGTATAAATGTCTATAATGGCGTTTTCAAAAACGTCGCTAAATGTCATAATGACGTCATATTACAGTTAGTAGGACATTTGGCGGCGTTTTTTAAAACGCCGCCTATACTAATATAATGACGTTTTTCAAACGTCATAAAGTTATAGCGACGGCTGCGTCATCGGCGTTTGGTGCTAAACGTCATAAAAAGAATTAGCGACGTTTTTAGTACTTTTAGCGGCATTTTTTAAACGCCGCTAAAAGTGAATTTTCCAGCAGTGTCAACTCTTTTGATTCTCTCCCCCCCAAACCCAATTCCATAAACCCAAACTTCTACAGTGATCTTCCAGGCCATTCAAAGGTCTTGATTTTGAACAGCCATGGTCATATATATATGTACCCAACTGCTTTACACCTCTGAGCTGAATCACCGTCAACTCCACCATGAACTGAAGAATATGAATAAATGTACCCGATGGAAAACCCAACGCCCTGAGATCGCACATCAGAAAATGAAGAGCTTTGTCTCATTCCACCATATTTGTAAGAAGCAGAGGACTTATCAGCCACTGATCTTTCAACACGTTCTCGAGCCTTGACACCATGCACCCAACCACGCCATGCACCTACCAAACCAGCGTCACACCGTCAGCCAGACGCGTCGGCGACCTCTGAAAACCCACCAGCAGCCAGCACGCACGGCAGTAAACAGCCCGTTGCTGGAAATGAGTCCAGCGTGCAATAATTATCACCGGAAGTATGAATGGAGAAGTGACTCCCGTGGTTGCTGCTGCTGCGATGTGGTGACTCCCATGGCTGCTGCTGCTGCGATGTGGTGCCTCCCGTGGCTGCTGCTGCTGCGGTGTGGTGACTCCGGTGGTTGTTGCGGAGGTTCGTGGTGGTGGCTCGGTGTAGAGAGAGAGGGAGATATAGATAGAGAGTCAGAGAGTGAGAAAGAGGGTGAGGTTGGCCATGCATGGAGAGGCAGATGTGTTCTGTGTGCGTATGTGTGTTCCGATGCAGAAGATCAACTATGCTCCAAAAACCAGCAGAGAGAGAGAGACCAGAGAGAGGGAGAGGTGCGTCCTCTCTGTTCTGTGTGTGTGTCCTTAGTGTATCAGCGTGTGTGTGTGTTGTTCACAAATCTCAGGATTTGTCTCCCTTTTTTTTTTACATCCTTTTTTTACCCACAGTCACCCCATCTCACCACCTTTTCTCTCTCTAGACATTTGTTTTCTTTTTTTACCCACACACATGAACACCACCCTCACCCATTGGAACACCCAGAGAGAGCCTCTGTGTTGTGTCTATTTTCAGCCTCAATTCTCTCTTATTTCTCCAACCTAAGAGAGAGATAGTTCATTCATCCCTTGTCTGTGTATCTCTCTGTGTATTATCCTTTTCCACCCTCTCACTAAGGGTGTAATAATATTCGGGCTTTGTGGCCTCGCAGTTTTTTAGCGAACCGGGCTGGGCCGGCCCAGCCCATGGGACAAAAAGTAGGGCCCAGGCCCTAGTCCAAACCTACTCGTAATAAGGCCTAGGGGAGAGAGAGAGAGAGAGAAACCTAGATGAGAAAAAGAGAGAAAAACAGTAAAGGAGGATCAAAAATATGAGAGGATCAAAAAATGAATTAACATGTAAAGAGATTTTTTTTTTTTTAAACATAATCTGCGGATTATGCGGGCGGGTTTCGGATTTGCACGGATAGGGTCGGGTCTGACCCGAACCCGATTTTTATATGAAAAAATAGACCCAGACCCGCACCCGCACTATTTATGCATGCGGGTAGGGTCAGATTTGTGCGGGTAGGATCGGTTTGGCGCGGGTTGTGCGGATCGGATAAATCGTTGCCCACCCCTAGTTTGAATGGATCAAAGACTCACAATGGAGAAAAAAGTGCTTACAACACATACATTTATTTAGCTCAACAGTTTTCTCTTTTAACTTAACTTTCTATTTTCAATAAATCAATGATCCAAATAATTGAAGCATTACTTGTAAAAACAAAGAGATGTGTTATGTTTTAGTGGCTAGGCACCCAGAAGAGAGTTTGGAATTGTTAATTATAGGGAAAATAATATGTCAGTATAATGTTAAAAAAATAGTACCAACTTTAAGCAAAAGTTTATAAAAGTGTCTTAGTGTTGCAAAGATTTTCATTAATTTAAGATTATTTATCTTACATTCCACTTAAATGATATTTTCTCTTAATTTGAGTATAGGCAGATGTCAGACTGGGTTGTTTTAAAGATTACTACTTAAAAAAAATTGTAACGCCCCATGTTTTATTACTCGAATATCATTATCCAATCCCTGATTATAGTTCATTTCCATAATAATAAAAGCGGAAGCAAGAATAAATAGCTCAGCAATAAATGTTCTCTCTCGTATGTAAGATGATAAACTATTCAATTATAATAATTTATAACATGTGCCCTTAGGCTTACATAGAAGAAAATAAAACAAAACAAATAAATGAAAAGGGATCAACCCTTATTACAATAAGATGGCATTCCGCCTACAAGTAATAGACCCCGTGGTCAACAAATAAAGAGACTCTATGGTCTTGAAAAATATTCCAAACTTCTCACTTGAAAAATAGTTAACAACGTGGGATGAACACTAATGTCCAGTAGAGATCCCAGTGATTCTAAACAATAGTAAAATATAGATATATATGATCATGAATGCTTTAGCTCAATAAATATATATAGATAGTGTTGTTTTGCATATCCAAAATATACATACATACGTATACTTTTCTCAAAAGAATCATTCTTTATCATTTCAAGAAAAATCCATTTTTCAGACCTTCGTAACTCATTATTTTCAATTCAAAAGATTTCCAAACCGAAGTCACATCTCGAATATCACACACAATAACCATTTCGGCAACTCTATGACTCATATTTTATAATCCAAATGATTTCATCACGTTGTTTATTTTCAAAATCAATCCACAATTAATCCTTTATACTCTCATGCTACTCATTTACATCAAACAACACTAATAAACATAACAATTATATTCTCAATAGAATCAATTCACCTCATAACACAACTTCAACTATATTCTCAATACTTATTTTCGTCAACAATAATCTCTACAAATATACACACATTAGCAATAAAATTTCGTAATAAAATAAACAACTTAAGGTCTCACCACGCCCCACATTACCATCGTGGTCTCGCCAAGACCCACGTCTGCCTGCTTTACCGGTTGCTAGTCGGAAGGAACGCATTACCTTTACATAGCATAGCCTGCTTTACCGGATGCTAACTGGAAGGAACGCATTACCTTTACATAGCACAACTTGTTTTAGCGGGTGCTAATTGGAAGGAACGCATTACCTCTATATAGCACATCAGCCCGTTTTACCGGTTGCTAGTCGAAAGGATCGTGTTACCTCTAAATAGCACAACCACATTCCATAACACGTGCATCTCAATTTCCTTCCATTCATTCACATATAATTATGTAATTATGCAGTTATTCAACAACACATAAGGTTTCATATCAACCTATTTCACATCAATTCTACAACAAGTAATACCATCCTTCACCGATGGCCAAGGACAAAACCTCTAAGCATTTAATAGTAATAATATAAATTCTTATAAACAAGATAGTGTGATTCTTATAACATTTCCATACCTCAATATTACCATCGTTGTCTAGAGTTAGATTAAAAATTATACCATCTCGTAATGTCCACAATTGATTCCACTACTTTTGATCACCAATACTTACAACATAGACCAATTTCATGATAATCATTTACTTCATTCTCTCTCTACTTTCCATTTCTAGTTCACAATAATTATTACAATCATCTATTAATTACTTTTTAACTATCAAAATTTTCAATTTACCAATGACAATACCTAGCTCAACCATTCATAAACATTAACCCTTTTTCATATTACATAACCATCAAATAAAAATTAGGGTTTTTCATTTTAAACTTCATAACTAACTTTTAATAGCATCCATTCATCATATTAACCAAGACATCACAAGATCAACCATCTAAATTTCCTTCTCTTCCCATTTAACATTTCTTATTCACAAAAAAATCAACATGACTCAATATTTATATAAAAAAAAAATACCATCTTTTCTTTTCATTCTCATAAACATTAAATTAAAAATTAGGGCTTTTTATTTCAACCATCATAAACATGTTCTATTAGCTTAAATTTCCATAATCAACAACAAAATATAAGATTAAACTATTTGATTCAAAACCCTAAATCTCATCTACATGTATTTCAAAAAAAATCACTTGTAAACTCATGTTTTTCATGCCATAAAAAGTACCACATGTCCATCTATAGTGATATATTGAAAAGAATCAAAGAGATCCCTGCCTCAAAATATGAAGAAAAACAAATCTGAAATGCAAGCTTGCCGGATCAAGAATCCAAGACTACCGGTGTGAAGAGTGCAGTGGGCTCTCCAACTTCCATTTACAAAGATTGTGCAAAATTTCGCTCTAAGGACTTCCACTCTAAGCTCAAAGCTTGAGCAACAATGGTGGAAATTGGAGAGAGAGAGAGAGACGGAACCAACTCTCTGGCAAAGGAAAAGAAAATGAAGCAGAAGGAGGAAAGAAAAGGTAAAAAGGAAATGGGGTGGGGGCAGCCCCACGTGGGTTGCCTCTTCCTTTTTTTTTATTTTTATTTATTTATTTATTTTTAATTTATACATATATCTATATATATACATCAATTAAAATTATTTTAACAACATTTTAATATTTTGTAACATAAAATAATATAATTTGTCTCATCACAAAATATATTTTCCGTTTGATAAAACACACCATAAATTCACAT